CTAGTTTTGAACAGTTTTCTTGTCAATTCAAACTTCAATCTGTTTACTGATTTCTTTCACCAACTGAAATTGAATAAACAATTAATGCAAAGCATATGTGCTTCACAATTTAAAAATCTCAGCTTGTATGTTAAAAATTGTCCTACGTAGAAGCAACACAATCAGATAAGAAAGTTACAATTAGGAAAATGTTGCAATGTACAAAATAAATCAAATTAGCTCATATATTATATAGATTTTCTATATCATATATTTTAAATCATATGGATGGTACAAGTTTTACTACTCCTTTATATGAAAATTTTATTTATACGTAATGCTGGATATTATGTCTATTTTCAGATCATTGTAAAAAAATTGTGTAAAATTGCATAATTTTCAACGTTAATATTTTGAAAAATTTTACATACCACTCTGTTGCTTATAATACAAGTAAAGCTATTCAGACCACGAAAAAATATGCCCGAAATAATGTGTCTGAAATAATAAGCAATCGTCTACTCTCTGGCCGTGGTCCGCCTTGCGGGAATACGATATCGGCTTCGAGACACAAAGCGTGTCCATCGCCCCTGAACCAACACGGCTGACTCTCGGAGATATGGGACGTCACACGTCGAGATGACGTCCAGGCCGCTTTGTTTGCTCAAACATTCGAGCTTTATCCTCGAGATCGTGAACGCTACATTTAAGTTATAATTGGCCCTATATCTCTCAACTTAGCGCTATTATGATGCACAATATCCGAACAGACTTCAACGACTTGCGCTTCTTGTTTAGGAAAGTATCAAGTTAATATGTGCACTGAAGTTTATATGCGTTAAATTTTGAATATTCATCGACGGTAGTGGTGTGAGTGATTGGGATAATATCAGTGATAGATTTTTTAGAATAATTTATCAGTTATAGACACAATAGAATGTATATTCTAGTATACAAAATGCTCATAAAAATCATCAGTGTTTTTATTAACTTTCTGTAGGGTCGAAAAAATCGAAAAAGAAAATTTGTATATAACTTAGAAAATATTGATGTATGTGTGTATATGTATGTATGTTTATAGTATGTATGTATGTACGTTAAGATACAATTTTTCGTCCACTATTTCGAGAGCACAGATGAACCGAAATAAATGATCCAAAACCATACGATTTGCATTTACTGGCAGACGTGCTGATTAGTTTTTGGCAAAGGCAAATTGTTTCGAAGATACGGAGCAAAAAATTCAAAAATGGCACTTTTTGAGCAAAAAGGGCGATCGATTTGAATAATTCGTATTTATTAGTTTTTAGCAAATACAGGTACATCTGTTTTGAAGGTACATAGCAAAAAGTACAAAAATTCTGATTAAATTTAATACAATACTTATATAATATATTATAAATATTATAAATATGAATAAAATAAAATAAACTATGAATAATATAAATATAATATAACAATTTATAAAAATGTACAATTATTAACTCAACAAGAATTGATATATCTGTGTTCATAAATGTTTATTCTAAAAATAAATCAGCTTAATTAATTTTGTTTATATATATATTTCATTTGAGCATATAAAAACGACGTCGTCTAATTTAATAAGCTTTTATATTCCGTTTTTAAGGAACAAATAATGAAAGTTCAATTTTTGTTGAATGGTTATTTTTATTCCTTGAATGTTTAATTATGGTACGGGAATTAATACAACACTAGTTTAATATATTATTTTCATATTTTGAGATGTTGTAATTTAATTTCTGAACGTGTTGTAAGTAAGATTCGCTCCAGTGTTTGTTAGTTACCTTTGTGTTATGATTATTATTGTACATAGTGTTCCAGAACTCAACGTCAAAACCTGGTTGTAGTTTCCAATGCAACAATCAGGAAAAAAAATGAAAGAAAATTATTCAATGTAGTTTGAAAATCATGAGCTTTTAAGTGCTACCTAGAGCTATGTTAATTTAAACTTTGAATCTGCTTCCGTACATATTATTACCGGACCACAATCAAAATGAGGACACAATTGCCACACGTTTTTCAGAATTAAGACTATTTGTTAAATTGTGAATTTTTACATTGAACTAATGTACACAATATTTGTATAAATTACCAAAAGTATGTAAGGAATTTTGTGTCAATGTTATTGTTGTAACGCCAAAAATCATGTCGTTACAACAATAACAGAGCTTCACCACATCAAAAAAGTAAATAATAAAAAATGTAGATCCCTTTATCTTCTCAATTATTACATCTATTTGCGCTATGATACAAATTGTGCTAAGCAGAAATCCGGTTGAACATTGTGGTTTTGAAAACAATTCACATATATCTAAAACGATGTATACAGTTCATAGTTGATATGGGTTCCTAAAATTTATACAGTAATTCTGTGCAAATGTTCTCGATTCTAATGCAATTGCAATTAGCTGTGGTAATGTGTTTAACCTATGTGACATCTAATTTAACACCAGTTTAAATTATAGAAATCATCCGCACGCTACGCTTGTTACATTGTAATAAAGTTTGGTTAATACGATCGAATCTTACAGTTAGTTTTGTTCCTAAGAACAAGTTTTCACGTGGTTTAATAATGTAGTTATGTAGCGCTGTAGTAAAATTTATTTGGCTTGAACAATATAATGCTAACTGCAATTAAAACTTACTTAAAAGTGAAGTACAATGTGTTATATGAGGACTGGGAATAGCAAAACATATGGTAAATAATATTTCAGAGCCATAGACAAATTATTATCATTATAACTTAAGGTCGACTTCTCCATTCAATTAAAATTTCGAACTATTATAAAATGATTTAGTAATTACTTTGATATTTTAGCAAATGTCAGTTTACAACAAGTTTGCCTGGAGATAGTCCAGACATGGAGTGCATGAACGTTAGGTGTTAAGCTGCTTAAACTAAACTTTACTTACACTATATTACTAAATATTAATAATTCATAAACTTGTATGTAAAATATCAGCTGGTTTCTCTTTAATAAGAACTCAAAGTTGGAAACATACAGCCTGGCATCAAATGGTCGTAGTGGTTAACTATTGTTTTTCAGTTATTCCTTAAAAAAATTAATTAAGGCTGGTTAGTGTACTGAGACAATTTGGAATATATCTGAGAGAGTCTACTCTCTGCTTCACCAGTTTACTTTGATATCTTCATAGTATGTTCATGTTCCTTTCTTCCAGAGTTCTAAAATTGGATGCAATGTTACCAGTTTTGTTTGAACACTAGTTTAGTTTGGAGACTTTGTAGTTTGTTGATGCATATTATTTTTTTTAATTTAGGCAGGTCAGTGTCCTGCTGGAAATCACAAGTTTCAATAGAAAATAAACTCCTAATATACAAGACAATTATTAAACCAATATGGCCCTACGGTCTACAACTATGGGGTGCGGCCAGTAAATCGAACATAACTATTTTACAGAGGCTCCAAAACAAAATTTTGAAAGAAATCGTGAACGCTCCAGAATATGTTCCCCAATTGGTTGATACACCAAGATCTCAGAATTCCAACTATAAAAGAAGAAATTAGTCATTACTGCTCCAGATTCAAAGCTCGTCTAAGTCGTCATCCAAACCATTTAGCACAATAGGTAAAATATTTATCGTGGAATATATCTAAGAAAGTCTACTCTTAGCCTTACGAGTTTATTTTGGAAACTTTGTTGTATGTTGATGTTGCTTCTTCTCAGAGTCCTAAAATTGGATGCAGTGCGCCCAGATTTCTAGCTGTTTTGCATAAATACATTTTATTGTAAATTTAAAGTTTAGAACAAAAAAAAGAAGATTTTGATCCCAGTAGCCCACATAGATTTCTTTATGATCTTTATCTGTAGTTTCTTGGTTAGTGTGAAATTAGTTACAGGCGAATGGTAACAACACATTTATCGTTCTAGAAGTACAAAATAAACACTATTTAATATTTCTCGGTTTACTATTACATCCTTTCATATTTGTTTAAAAAGTCAACATAAATACAGTCAGTATCAGAACAAACTAAACTGTCTATTAACAAAATAATTTCGTCTGGATTAAATTTTATTCCATCAAATTATCCAATGCTCTTCTCTAATATTCTGATACACTTATCTTATATGGTTATTCCATAAAATCTCTCAACTCCGTATGTTTGTCCATTATATTGTGTAACATCTGATACATGTCGTCTTTGCCCTTTAGTTCTAGACATATGCCGATCTGGGATCACTATGCAATTTTTCTTGGTGTATCATCTTCCATTAAAGAGTTATATCGCATTACAGCTGATGCCAAGGAGAAGCTATTGATGTATTGGACTCTAGACTAAAATAGACATTCTATAATGTTCCAACTCCTTCGAGGATATTGCATTTTTAATATTTAGTTTAACACTCGGGGAATAATAAGGACTTGAACAGATAAATAAAAAGAATAAATGCAAGTGGTGAAAAATTAATTTTTTGCAAAAATTTTACTTTCTTATAAGGGTTAAATTATAACCCAATAGCCTGAATTATCGAAGGAGAGTTTTAATTAATTCTATAACTACGTAGCATAAAGTACAACTAATTGAATGTTTTAATGAATTCCTGTAAACTGCATAATCTGTTTTTGATAGATGGCATTTGAAACAGTTGTCCCATTTTTATGTGCTAAATTAGATGAAAGAACTCTAAATTTGCTAAATTCTATTTTCCATCCAATATCATCATAGAAACTTACATTTCATTTAAAGAAATGAAACAATATGAAATAGAGCTATTTTCATAAATAGGATAAAACACAATCCAAAAACTTTCGTAGAAATGATTGTAAATATGATTGCAAGAATACGTGAGCTGCTTTTGGATCTCTTGTGTGATTGCGAATATTCGCCAAGTTTGCATTTTGCTACCTGCATCGAAGATATCTTCGGCTTGAATTATTTTTGTGATCCGAACAGGATACCAATTTCGTTAAAACTTCGTAAAATTTTATCAAAATTTTTAGCAGCATCTTTAGTCAATAGTATATTTTATTTCAGATGTCTGCCTTGTCTGGGGCCATGTGATAATTGCGATTCGAGTGGACAATGTCTGGCAGTAGGCAATGCTCTAATAAGGGCTGCCATTATGGCTGTGCAAGGTTGTTGCTTGTTTGCAGTACTACTTTTGGCCATAATAGTATTTCGACATAGAAAATGCAAGGTAAATAAGAAAATTAGTAGTACTAAGCTTCATAAGTACTAAGTTTCAGAAAAATAGCTGGATATGATTTTTTATGAGAATGAGCAATCTTAAAAGTAACAATATATCATAAATCAAGAAATATTTTTTAAAGATTGTTTAATTTTCTAATTTTTTGGTCATATTTTTAAAGATAATTCAAAATTGATCATCAATACTATTACATCATGAGTTGATAGTTGTAGTGTGTGATGTTTGTGCTTTCAGAAAAATTGTTAGACTTTTTTTTTACGTTTTTATTTTAAAAAATAAGAATTTTGTTAAAAAAAAAAATTGTTTCCTTTATTATGATAATAAATAATGATCAAGAAATATTTTTTTGAAAATTTATAGTTTTTAATTTTTTTTTGCTCATATTGTTAAAGATAAGATTTTGACCCCCCACCCTTCCCCTTGGTGATACGTGGTGATATTCAAAATTATCCTCTCTCCCATCAAACATCACGTTTATTTTTATTTTAAAAAAATGTTAAATTTGTGATTTTTTGACAATGTTTGATTTTTTTTTAAATTAGGTAAAAAATAAATATACGTGATATATTACTATACCCCTCCTCCCCCCGCGTGATATTTTGTGATTTTTTGTCAAACCTCCTCCTAAAAATCTCACGTAATTAAAGGACGCCTCCTAATATAATTAGTAACAGTAGTAATAAAAAAATCTAAAGTTATTAAAAATAGATCAAATTTATGCTACATTTGAAGCCTGATATATAAGTCTTAGCAATTCTTAGCAAATTTGGTCTTAACAGTAATTGAATACACTGAGTATAATTTGTCTAAAAATATGAGTAATTTTAAGTTTTACTTTATTATTTTGTTACAGACTATTGCATCAGGAATGTGGAGAGTCCTTGAAACTCTACTACTGGGAATTTTTCTTCTATATTCTTCGGTGAGTTTTATGTATTATCAATTCCATTAAAACTTAAATCTGTACTAATTCATTATTCATTAATTAATAAATTCCGCTTAAAAAGAATTAGTCTTTTGAGCGAAATCGTCCTTTTGAGAGATATGCGAATATCATTACTGCTAACGATTCGCAAAGAGTCTATTCAAACCATTCCCCGAGGTATTTCTCACAAAGTGAATTAAAACTAAGTCGCTAACAATGTCATTATAAAAAGTAAACCGAGATACGGATTCATACGGTTTTACCAATCACCTCACGTCTATCCACTTTAAGTTTTCCATCTGATATAAGTCTCAACTGTAATGAAATCTTTGCAATCAATTATTACCAAGGAAAGAAATAATACTTCGGCGAATGCCGATTCGAAGCTGGAACACAGTTCCACCGACCAGGAAAGTTCTTGTGAAAGTTTAACAATCCTTTGTGTAAACTTTTAATGTGATATGTGGGACGTAATTAATTGGATACAATTAGTGTACTTAGGATAGTTGTAAAAATTAGTTAGTTCAAGTTGATTTATTGGTTTAAGTTTTTAATGGCGTTGATAAATTTTATCTAGATTGCAAGAAGTTTTTAATATAAATTAGGTAGTAATTTATTATCATCAACTTCTGTTTAATTAGAAATAATAGAATAGAAATATAATAATTGCGTCCTTACATCCTATATTAGATAGATATAATATTTAATTTAATCTGCATGATAATTTTTATGCGATGTAAGTTTTTGTCATAAAGTAAAAATCTATATAAAGGAGCTAGGGCTGGTTGTCACATTTTTTTTAAAATTAATATATCTTGAGATCTACTAATAATATTTCTACGAAATAGAGATGAATAGCTGATGTAACTATTCCTATACCAAATCGATAATTCTACAACTTTTGTTCATGATATCACAATTAATCATTTAGACAAGACAAAAAAATATTTTAAAAAATCCTATTAAAAAATGTCTGTCACTACTTACTACAGTTGCAATAAGCTCCTAGATCTACTACAAAATTCACAATTTATAATCAAACGTGGTATCCTGTAATGTCTTTTATAAATGATTTTTCGATTGTTAAATGAGATCATTTGAAAATTTTCCTGGTCCCAATTTATAATCAAACGTGGTACCCTGTAATGTCTTTTGATTCTTCTATTGTTAAATAAAATCATTAGGATATTTTCCTGCTGATCATACTATCTTTTATTATATTATATAACCATCGATTGCTGATTCTGAATTTTAATCATTTTTTCCATATCTGCCTGGTAAAGCATTCAGTAATTCAGTAGATATAAGATTTCAAAATGCTATCCAGTAGTAGTAGTTTTAAGTTGGAAAATTGATGATATAAAAATACAAAAAATAATAATAAGTCTACATTGCCTGTCAATTTGCTAATCCTGAAGGGTTTCTTCGGTTGAGTCTTCTGTTTGAGGAAAGCAAGAATTTTGCTTTCAGTCAAGTTTTGGTTCGGATGATATTTAAGTCTAGTTTTGTACTTAGATGCATGTCTTTTCATTTCTTCTGTTAACTAAAAAAATTAACATAAGATCAAATTTAGACCAGGCAAGGTATTTTTATCAGTTGGTCATAGCAAACATTTTGATTTTAAGATATGTTATCTGCGCCAATATAAATTTCTTTCTATAATCAAATCTCTCTATCACTACACTTGTAGGTATACACAGTTATTTGTGAATTTTTACTACAAGTTTACTACAATATTAATATTGTATTGTATAAGTAGCCCATACTCGAATATAAATAAATATAGTAACGCATACTATACAAATTCATACAAATTCACTAGCATACAAATTCACTAGCAAACTCCTTACTAATAGAAATTGTCGTAGACTGAAGAGAAAATCGCCACTTGATTTAAGTCGTCAATTTTCCCGATAAAGACGAAAATAGCTTAGTTATTATTTATAGGAAAATATGTATTAGTTATTATTGTTATTAAATTATTTTTAATATTATTTATAACAAATGAAAAGACAACTATTGAGTTGTTTTTTCAACATGTTAATATGATATGCAATGTCCCTATTACGGCTAACAATTGTAAATAAACAAATTTGCTAAATGTCCTTAACTGGATAGTTGTAATTATAGTAGTGAATAAAAAAACAAAAAATGTAGTCATATGGAGGGTAACTATACATTCATAATTGATTTTTTTTTCAGGTACTTATACGTCTATTACCCGTGTCGCCCCTAAGATGTCTAGTGGAACCATGGTGCCGGGAGTTGGGCTTCGTGCTGTGTTACGGCGCGGTTGTTCTAAAGTTGTACCGACACCTCATAGAATTCAGGACGCGCAAAGCACACCGTTGGGTACTACGCGACGCGGACCTGCTTAAATATTTGGCCGCTATGGTGAGCTCTAAAAATACTCTGAAATAGCTACTTACCATTTGTTATGTCTAAAATGTTGTGAAAATCTTATGAAATGGTTTTAACTGCGGGGATATCTTGAGTTTATTTTTATTCAGAAATTGGGGTGATAACACTTGCTTAAAAATACTGAAAAAAGGAAATGCTGTAACGAATTGATTGGTAATTGATTGGCAATTGATTGGTTTATTGGTATTTTAGTATTGGACAATCAGTTTCTAGAGCACCTCAGAGATATACTGTGATTATTATTTATATTTTGTTCTACCTAAAATGTTGTGAAAATCTTATGAAATGATCTTAACTGTGGGGACAACTTCAGCTTATTTTTAGGCAGAAATTGGATTGATAACATTTGCTTAAAATATTGAAAGAAAGAAATGCTAAGGAATTGATTGGTAATTGATTTATTGGTATTTTAGTATTAGGCAATCAGGTTCTAGAGCACTTCAGAGATATACTGTGATTACTACTTATATTTTGTTCTACCTAAAATGTTGTGAAAATCTTATGAAATGATCTTAATTGCGGGGACAACTTCAGCTTATTTTTAGGCAGAAATTGGATTGATAACATTTGCTTGAAATATTGAAAGAAAGAAATGCTAAGGAATTAATTGGCAATTGATTTATTGGTATTTTAGTATTGGACAACCAAGTTCTAGAGCAGCTCAGAGTATTATACTGTGATTGCTACTTACAATTTGTTTTACCTAAAATGTTGTGAATAACTTATGGAATTGTCTTAAATATGGAGGCATATTAGTTTTATTTTTAGCCAAAAAATTGGGTTCAAAAGTTCAATTTAAATAAGAAAGAAATGCCAAGGATTTGATTGATAGTTGACTTATCAATAATTAAGTATTAGACATGCCAGTTTTAGTAAGGTTGAATATTGTTTGTGTTATTTTATAATTACGCTAGAAAATAATTATAAGTTAGCAAGTTGTGTATTTGAATATTAACTGCAAAGTCCCTTTAATGTAGTTGTGTGATTCATTATATATACTTATTTGCTAAAATGTTATTAAAAAATGATCTCAATTGCGGATACAACTTTAAGAAAGATTTAGTTAGCTATTATTTTGTAAAATACCTTCGAATTCAAAAATAACACATTGAAGCTATTTACCCCGCCCATGGGGCAAATATGGGGTAAACAAATACAGCAAAATTCTGCAAATATTATCTGGGAATTTTACTGAACATAGTCAGAATAGTTGTTTGATATGTGTTTTTTGTTGTAACATAATTGGTTTGGTATTCACAATATAATTGCTCAAAGTCAAATTGGACCTTTGTGCACCACTCTATTTTTTATATTATAATTCACTGGACATTATATTAAATTTTAATTTACCCATGGAATTCAATATTTTGCATTGACTGAATAATGTAGCTATTATTTCTTAAAATCCATTTCAAATTGAAAACAATCGCCCATGGGGTAAAAGGGAGCAGATGTCAAATTTTCGAAAAAAGAAAAAAATCTGTAAATATTATCTAGGAATTTTACTGAACATAGTCAGATAGTAGTTTATTTGATATGTGTTATTAGTTGTGATTAGTTGAGTGGGACCTTTGTGTCCCACTCTTTTCTTTATATTATTATTTACTGGACATTATATTAAATTTTAATTTACCCATGAAATTTAATATTTTGCATTGGCTGAATAATGTAGCTCTTATTTTGTAAAATTCCTTTAACATTAAAAATAATCGCCTATGAAAAAAAAGGAGTATGTGACAGTTTTTTGAAGAACAACAAAAAAAAATCTGATATTATCAGCTGGGAGTTTTAGAACATAGTCAGATAATTGTTTGTTTGATATGTGTTATTTGTTGTGATATAATTGGTTTGGTTTTTACAATAATGCTCAAAGTCAAGATGGACCTTTATGTTCCACCCTAACAAGTATATATACGATTAAATAAATTTCATCACAGTAAATTTATGAAATAGCAATAAAATTTGAGAAAAATCTGTTTTCTTAACTGACCTGCGATGCAATATGGAGTGAACACTGAATAATTATAATAAATTATGTTTGAAAGCAAATGTATCTGTAAAACGTCTATACTAATCACAAATGTGATCTAACCAGAATCTATGTTCATGAACATATGACAAAATCTTGTATAAAAATTCTCAAATTTTAATCCACGAAATACCTGCATTTTTCTTCAACCAAACCATAAAAAGCATAATTATTTCCACACCCTTCTATAGTCGTTCCACCGCCACCAAAGCACAAATTACTTTTTCTTTGATGAGTCGGAAACGTTCAGGGCTTATTACGAGTTATGTGATATTTTATTCAGTGCATTTTCAACGAGCCCGGAGCTTTTCGTCAGATTTTAAATAATATACGACATTTCCGGAAATTCCGGAGTTGCCAATGCTGTGCTGCTCCAATTCACTGCTTTATACAATTAGTAAAGGATTAGCAGAATTATCCATACATAGGTAATAGAAATGTTACCAGGATGATAATTAGAGAGTGTTACTGGAATAGGATAATAATTATAATTGTATTATTTGCGATATAAACAATTGTATTTAATTTGTAGCTTAAAACGCTCGTGATAAGATCGTTTATTTAATATAGTTTCTATTTTATAGTTAGACAAAATATTATTGTGCGATTTACGAAATATAAATTAATAATTAAATTCATATTCATATATATATATATATAGGGTAGGGCGGGGTGGCTAGATAGATAAAGATCCAATTTGACTTTGAAATAATTATACTAATCAAAATAATTATTTTGTTATTAATTTTAATATTGCTCGTTTATTGTATTTAATATTATTTGTCATTTATTGTTTTTATTGTACTTTATTGTTTGTCTACTATTATTTGTATTATTCACAAATTTTATTTATTTTATTTATTGATTTTATTATCATCATGGTCTATATTTTATATTAAATTATTAAATTATAATCATATGGATATCATTTTATTAAAAATCCTAGTCTTTATTTTATATTATATTTTATTTCTAATTCTTATCAGATGTTACTAGCTGTTAGCAGTTATAACTGATATTAAAATGAAAAAAAAAGAGTAAAAAATACTGTTCAAAATAAAATAACTAACTACACCAACTATCGTACCAGGTTCAGTAAAATTCCCAGTTATATCCTAGTTATAAACAATGTCATGTTCTACTGTTTTTTCTAAAATTTGTTACCTTACCCCACAGACTGGGTAAAAAGGTACTGCCAGGGGGACAACATATCTAGTGTTATATTACTAAATTTAGTTTTTTCGTGAGATAATAGCTACATTATACAAACAATGCAAAATATAAATTTTATGGGCACATTTTTATAAAGAAATCGATCTAGTATTTCGTCAGAAGTATATTCATCAGCAGAGTTGGAGTTGCTAAAGAATGCCAATAAATCAATTCTTCAGCAATTTTTCATTCAATATTTTAAGTAATTTTATTCCGGGTAAGATACGGGGTAAAAATACTAAAAATGGTAATTTAGGTTTCATTACTTATTTATATTCACAATTATTACAATATATTACATAGTAATGTATAGTATACATTATTACTATGACCTATTACAATATTTTTTTAGATCAGAGAAATGTATAGTATACATTACTATGACCTTACGTATGATAATTGACTCTGATGAAAATCTGCACTGAATATATTAAAAACTAAGAATTTTGAGACAAATCTGAGAGAACGAAGTGTCCGATTTCGGAGATCGTGTAAAAAAAGTTTTGGCTGTCAATAATGATTTGAAAATGAATGAGACATGTGCATATTGAATTATCACATATTTTATAGAGATTTTAATAATAAGTATAAATTTTATTTACATTTCTGTGGATTACGTAACATTGATTACCCGTAAGACTGCGACGCGACGTTTACGCGCTTCGATATTTCGACTTTACATAGCTAAAGCAGGACAATTTCTCTGAAAAAAAAATAGTTGTACTCACTTATCTCGGTAAAAATAATGTGTAAAACGTGATCGAGGTAGAAACAAATATTATAGCCAACTTCGCGATAAAAATGGTGCTGTAGAATATTTATGTCTCTCGTAGTGTTTTACATATATTAGCCAACTTATATAGATAGTTTAGCTTTCTCTATGGAATTCGGTTCCCATTATTCGGTACACGCTCCTTATTGTAACACACGGCAGTATCGAAAATTGTTTTGTTCAACTATTTCCTGAATGCACTATGAGCGCAATTTATTCTTCAATTCCAGGTAGTAGCTGCACTGTGTTATCTGGCTGCTTTCACAGCTTTTAGTTTAGATTACTTAGAACATCAGAGTATTGTTGAGTCCCGAACTACGATAGCAGGACTAAAGTTTTCGACTTGTAAACCTTTAAGGTGAGTTTTCTCGTATAATGAAAAGTACAAAATATAAATATAACAACTTTCTGATGTTTCAAATTATAAACTTTTATGAATACGATAACTGTTATTGCAGTGCAAAACAACATTTGAGGCAAATGAAATTATGTTCATAACCGACATGTATTTAATTTTAAATTTTAGATGGGATTTGGTTACGCAAGTTGGTGAAATGTTTGTGTTGGGATTTGGCTTATACCTCAGCTACGCAATTAGAACTGCAGTTACAGAGTTTAAGGTGAATATGATGTAATATTAATATATTTAACATATTATATTATGAACGGGCCGGCCGTGGTCCCGTGGTAAGAACGTGGGCTAGCAAATCCTAGTCCCGGGTTCGAATCCAACTTCGGTCGGTTCGGTATCAAAGCAGCTTGATACCAAATTTTCACTTGAAATCATAGATTTCAAATATGATTTCAAGTGAAAATGGCCTTTCGTGGGCATAGCTGTAGTGGCAACATGCCACTTGGAAGTAAAAAGTCATCACTATTACAACAATTGTAATAATTCAGCACATAGAGATGGGACAACTGTTTGGGTTGCCATCTATAATAATTGTAAGATAATTGATCACAACAGCTCATAGAACTCATAAGTTCTGATCGCTGTTAAAAGAATAAAAAAAAAGAAAATATTATGAACATTTTGGTATTTAATTGAATTCATTAGAATAGAATATCGTGCACCAACTATTCATATATGTTTACTTATACGTCTTGTCAAATCACCTAAATTTCCATTAAATCCATTGACAATATTTATATGTTTAATTGAAAACTTGTTTATTTTTACTTTTATGTTCTTACTGAATCAAAGTTTCTGATTAGGAGTTTCAACGGTATCATCAAATATTTTAAATGGGATTTGATTATTTAGATTTATATTGTTAAATAAATCGACTAAGAATAGCTACATTAATTATTTATTGATATTTAAAATTATTACAATATTTTTTTAGGTACTAGTAATATATACGTATAAATAATGATAATTTACTCTAATATAAAAACTAAGAATTTTAAGACAAATCTGACATATGATACTGAATAGGGAATTTTGAGAAAATATTCAGTTCATTCAAAAAAGCAGTTTTCAATATAAATTAAATAATGTTTTTGAATGTGGGGAAAATAATATTTTCAAATTTCTAAAAATAATATTTTCAATGATAAATATAGTTGCAATCATATTGGCTTTGAATGTATAATGTAATTCAACTTATATTGGTTTTTTATGTGGTGCAAATATTTCTTATTCATATTGAGTTTATATTGGTTTTGATTAGGAGTTGTATATTGTTTGCCAATATTGAGTTTCATATATTCGTATCAATATTAGTTTTATATGGAAAAATGTTAACGGATAATATTAGAACAATATTGATAAACTATATAAGGCCCAAATAAAAAAAGAATGCGCGTAAGGTTCACACGCGATTGAAGTAAAACTTATTTGCTACTGTACAAGATGGCATTTAAGTAAAAATGAATACATCATATAACAATTTTGAATAATGTTTATTAGTAATATGGTAACACTTCTGATGCGTGCATTTATTAGTGCCAACTCTTATACACATTTATATAATGATTAATTAAAAATATGTATAATATTTAAAAACAATAATGTAATTAAAGTCATACTTCAAATATGACATGATCGGTTTGTCATTGTAATTAGCATTAGAGACATGAAGTAATTGTTTATTAATAACTTCTATATTATTCGTTCACCAGTGGATTATGTTAAACAACGCCTAAACAAATATTGCTTTCGCAACTTTACTCATCATGTAATTGTGTTTGAAGAACTTCATGTAATTAAAATTAACATACACTCATTGACTGCTTTTTTTTTTACTTTTTCGCTGGCGATATAATCTTATTCTTTGAACAGATGTAATATCTGTCTTGCCTAAAAATATTTTCCATTTTAATAACTTCAAAGATTTATAGAAACTACGAATAATATTGAAATTATTTCTAATCAATAAACTTACGTTTGGTACACGGCATAAATGCCTAATTTGTTTTATTATTTTCAAGGAACAGGGTAAAATATTCTCTTGATTCAGGCATTTTTCATTGAATCAAGATTTGTACAACGATGTAACTTTAAAATGTTTATTTATCTATGCCGATTTCCTTGTTCATATCGGTACGCATACAACGTTGATGACGGTATGCATACAACGACAGATCTCTATTCACATACACGACGACTAATCACAATTGACCCGTATAGAAATGATATTACCGAGAGCGAATGACGAATCATTGGCACTCGACTCTGCCGTAACGCACTTCCGTACGGATTTAAACCCTAGTCACGCCAAAAAGTTTTACTTTGAAAATATTGCGCAACGATTCATTTCTATCTAGGATTTTATTCCTTATCAATATGTGGGTATGAACATACTTTATTCTTTGCTATAAAATGGCATCAAAATCATTTAGATACCAGGGTGGGGCCAATTCTGTATGGAAACACACCCATACCCTTTATATAAGTCAATGTCATGTATCACAACAATTTGCATTAAATTTTTGATAGACCGTCCAGATGATCAATTACATTTATCATAAAATTTCATATTATCATCAGGTAAAGAAAACGTGTGAGTTTTTATTTCCGTTCCAGGATCGGCAATTTCTCTGTGCCACTATCTTAGTGGAAGCTGTGATCTCGGGAAGTTTCTATCTCATCCGTGATATATATTTGGAGTTAGTTCATCCCGATTATGCATTCCTCGCTTATTTCTTGAGATCACAGCTGACGTGCACGATAGCGCTGCTGCTGATCTTCGTTCCCAAACTTTGGTACCAATTCAAGCAGGTCAGTTCTAGAATAATAAAAGAAGGAAACTGACAAGTATTCAGTTTGTATTAAAATTTACCAGAAAATGAATTAGGTTGAGACTATATGAACGGGCACAACTAGTGTGAGATTTTCAAAAAATATTTTCCAAAAATTATTTAATTTTTTTTTTCAAAAATATTACTATGTATTCTTAAAGCATGTATAAAAATATTCCTAAAATTTTGAAATTATTGATAAAGTAGTTTTTTTAATATAAATTCGCAAAAGTCACCTTTTTTTAGGCGGTTACACTAGTCGTGCCCTTTAAAATGGATCACATTAAACAAAAAAATGGTATAAATATGTTAAAGTGAGAAAGAAAATTTTGTATTCTAAATTATTTACATGCGATGACAACTCTTATTCCTGAGATGAAACTAAATAAATAAAAAAATCATTACTAATTATTCAATTGTATACTTTGTTTCAATTAAAATTAATTTATTCTGAATTGTTTTTATATTATTAACTATTTTTATTATATTAACTCTTTTGCTACGAACGTCGCCTACAGGTGTCGTCTGTAGACAACATCTACTGTGTCTGATTTAACTTCTTGAGAATTCTAAATTATTATTTTAATTTTCAGTTTCCTTAGCAATATAACTTTCAATTTTTTTAAGTACTTTTGTTTAATTATCATTAGAAAGTCTTAGTATATGTTGATGTTCTTGGTACGCTTAGAAACGCTACTAGGGTCGACTCGCTGTTCCGTACAGCAGTGTCACTCCTGCCGAAAAGATGCTGTACCGAAAGGGCCAATAAAAAAAAATTATATTCATAAATTTATATAAATTTGTAAACATTGATGTATTTCGTTGCGTTAATGCCAAAATTTCCATTTAGAATCTATTTGACTAATATTGAAAAGCGTTATAATCTGTCGATATGATTCATTATGCACACTTTGTTTGTAATGACTTTTTTCTCAGCTGATTAAATATCATGACTGTTATTTCAATAATTATTTACAAATAACCAAAATATTTCTTAAACAAATCTTATTATTTTTAATGATTTATGTTTTGAGCGTTTTGTTAAATTTGATTTATCGCAGAAAAAATAATTTTGATCTAAAAATTCTATCTAAAAATAATTATTTTGATATTTTTTTGCTAAGATAAAAAAAACTTATAAAAATTTAACAAGATATAGTTCTGACGTAAATGCAAGTGAAAAGTGAGAAAAAACATGAACTGGAATTATTGGATTATACTTTTCAACACTGTTTTATATTCCATGTTTTTGCCTTGTCACCAGTACATTTTCAGACAAATATAAAGAATTATTCATATCATTCTTGAATGAATTATGAGTTTAAAATCGACTTATCTTTTCTTAAAATATATAGATTTCTTGAAAATCTAAATTTATTGGTTGCTATCTTTCATTCATAGAATATTGGTATCAGGAAGGCCAATCACTAGATTGGCACTCGATTTAGATTTTTTTTTTAAATTCGACAAAAAATTTGCTGATATTCAGGATGGAGTAGGTGCAAATATTATAGAAAAAAGTGACCATTGTTGTTTTGAAACATTTTATATTCTTGCTCTAGCATGATAAATATCATTCAACTTTTAAAAGTTTAAAATAAAAATAAAATAATGATATTATATTATGCACTGGTGACCATTGCAAGTCAACGAAAGTCAATTATACCAAGTGAGATTTAAGTCTCGTTTTCGTATCCACTCAAGTGTAATCAAACTAAATTTTTACATGATTAACTTTATAAAATATTGTAGTATCTATGGGATTTATATTCTAATATATATATAATTGATTTCATAATTCCCAAAGGAATACTCACTAAAAACTCCTGCAATAACTAACTCGGTTGTGAGCTGTTGTGATGCCGAATTAACAGAAGTTAAATTGGCAGAAATGAATATAGAAGATATACGTGCTGAACTCAAAAGGTAAAAAAATTATATATAAACTGACAAATTTAATCCAATTTTATTATTTATTACATTTTACAATTTTTTTATTGCGATTATTATAACAATTTAAGCATTATTGTATTTTATTTATTAGATATAGTTTGGTAGTTTTTATTATTGATACTTGATTGGATTGATAGTGTGGTAATAATAGCCATATGTATATCACAACATTGACATTTAATTGAGAGAATGTAATTTGCACTTTTTGCTATTAATTTGGTTTATTTTATTGAGAATATTCTCAATTTACATACGACTTTTTTGTTAATATTTTTTTTGTAATTTTTTTTCAGGTTGTACATCGAACTGCAATTACTGAAAAGTAAAGCGATAGTCGTCGACGACGCGCACATATCAAAACGCAAAGGCGGCCGCAAATTCGCCCATCGGAGATTTTCGCTACAGGTAGGGAGTACGCCCCTGGACCCACTTTGACCCCATAGTAAGATAATCAGTGATTGTAATTAGAACTGCAACAAATACATAATATCCAAACAATTTAGTATTTAATACAGTCCAGAGCTACAAGGGTTAAATATAACCCAACAACCTGAATTATCGAAGGAGAGTTTTAATACATTCTATAATTACGTAGCAAAAGTGCAGCATCTTTGTGATATGGCTCAATAACCCATAAGTGAAGTTGCATTTTAAGTATAAAACTCCCGATTTCTTTGAAAATCCTTGGCATTTTGACAGTATTTAGTACCATTTTGTATGAGAAGTTACTATTTCTTGCTGTTGAAGTATCTTAAAAATCTTCAAAACAACCTGATTCTACAATTTTATTATTCCATTAAAAAAAAATATACCTCTGCGTATTGATCATGCTACATTTTTCCTCCTACAATGATGTATAAATTGGAAAATTTACCGAAAAATTTGATTTGGTTTCAAGTTTTTACCTTAAAAATCGAATTGTGAATGAATTGTGTTTTTAGAAATATCGTATTTCTATATTATATTAAATGTGTTTTAATTTGAATCAATTAACGTCTTGTATTTTAATTAATATATTAACGTGTAACTTTCCATCTTGTGCAAGACTTGTTCCAAAATTAATGATGATACTCCAAATAGAATAAAATTAATTCCCAACTGATGAAGATAAAAAATTAACAATACTGATTTTATTTAGTAAATAATAAAATATTTGATTAGCATAAAATATTTATAACAATATATTCAAGATTATATTTATTAATTATTTTTATTTAATATCAAATTTATTTTATTATTATCTTAATATTTTTATGCTGCGTTGTTAGAAAAATGAGTTGGATGACAAGGTAAGTTTAGCAAGAGGAAAAAAAATATTTAAAAAAAAATAAATTCATTTTTTTATTCACCAGAGCCACTTGGAAACCACTGCTCTTATTCCAATTTATGACGTGTCTCGAGAAGACCTAGATTTCGAAAAATTTAAAGAAAATCTAAAAAATGGAATTATTCCGTCTGTTTATAAACCGATAGAAATCTGTTCTCGTGTGTGCATGGGTAACTAACTTTTTATTTAATTCACTAATTTATTCAATATGTATTCAATATGTATTGTTTATTTAATAATGCATATAACTTTGTTAATAATAATGTTTATTATTATATTATAAATTTCTATATTAATGTGCATGTCATAAAATAGTTATCATTACATAATTCAGTATACCTACTATACGTTCAAGAGTATAACAAACAAGTTATACATATTTATTTCTACTAATTACTATATTTTTTCTATATTTATTTATTTATTTCTAGGTGTCTCACTACGCACAGTTTCTTTATTGAAAGAACTCCAGTGCCACTAAATATCGATTAATTAAAATAAACTGTTTTAATATTTCGTTCGCTACAAATGCTCTGCTAGAATCATTGTGATAAATATGTTTTCCCAAAAAAATTATTTAACTATGATAATCACTGTAAATACTATTCTAAAATAAATATAAGAAAATTACATCAAATGTAAAATATCGATTAAATAATAATCCATTAGTGTATTTATTTAAGATCGAATTGTAATTATAATAATAGACATATATCATAAACTAGCTGAATTTTGATTTGTATCTAGTATTTGTCGAATTAATTTGCGCAAATATTTTTTATTAATATTTTATTAACTTAATTTTCCTAATTTTGACGGAGTATTTTAGCGAGTTTTTTATTTTAGTTCAGAACATAAGTCAAAGTGCTCTAATAAGTGACCTAAGCGTAATAAGTGTTTTGTTTAAAAAACTTAGAATTTTGTATAATTTTATAAATAGTTAAGCATATTTTGTGATAAAATAATTACAGATGATGCTGCAGTGATCTCTAATGTTTATCGGCAAAGGTAAGTCTTTCTGTTATTTCTGAAACAACTTAATTATATTCACAATATTCTTTAAATTGCCGTAGGGAAATATGTATTGATCGTCGAAAAATTTGAAATAAAAGTTTTTATATTTAATATTTCAAATGTTTCTGAACATTTTGGCACAACTTAAAAAATTTAGGTACCTGCATAGCGTGTGTGTGTGCGTATTAGTGAATACAAGTTTTATCTACTATTTCGGGCGCACGGATCAACCTATTTGAGTAATTCAAAATTCAATATATATATATATATATATATATATGTGTGTGTGTGTGTGTGTGTTTAACCAAAAAAATCATCTTTATCCCTGATTTATACATAATTCTGAAAAATTTCTTTGACATTGTTCTGCGACATTGTACAATTTAGTTAATTCGACCGATGCAATTAGTGATCCTATCATAAGTTCTAGGCATATTATTATTAATATTGTATTATCAATGTCCCTTTTGTGCAAAGGCATTAATTTCTCCATGAATCCTATCCGGCTGAACAGGTTTTGTGCAGTCTGCCGGCAAATGCCGCCCGGTTATTACTGGTTGATTGATTCAACAATATCTATTGTGAAATGCTTCCGATCGATATCTCTTGGAAAATTACAAGATTGTTATGAGAGGATTCTAACCCAGAATTGCATTACAATAACTACAATATGTTTGTTACGTGTTCAAATGTTAGATTATACTTTGGAGTATAATTGTGAATATGAACCATTATAATCTTCTCAAGCGGCACAATAACCTGTTATGTTTTTAAATTAATTTGGAATTTTGCAAAACTAAATAAATTCTACAGCTGATTGTTCATGTTAAATCCATATTTTCTATTTATTTGTTTTTAAAATTGACCATAGTTACTAGCAGTTGTTATAAGTTTATATCTTGAACTGAGGTGCGTTTTACTTACAAAGGCATTAATTATATTCCATTGCTCTATATTAAATTCAATTATTAATTGAATTTTAGTCATATCTATTCAAATTTTTGTTTGACTTTGAAACATTAATCAACGATCAATGCGTCAAAATCAAATATACTATTTTTTATCCTTTACTTACTACATTATACTATCTTATGTGTGGATATATATTTTTTCGAAACTGTAAAATTTTAAATCAATGATATATTTTATATGTATATTTATTTGTATGAATGTGTGTATATACATATGTATGTATGGCCAGATACAAGAAAGTTTCAAAGTATGTGAAGTTTGAATTCTATCAATAGTCTGAACTTTGAAGTTTAGATTCAAACAAAAGGAACAGCTGATATGCAAATCATTCGATATCGATTTCATATTATCGTTCGCCTTTTAACCTTCACCGCACGATTTGCACGCGGTTAAATTCTTATATCTTGACTTTCAGGTGGCGGTTTTTGATAGTGAGATAGCTGGACATATATTTTTTTTTAATTGTTCAAATTTTTCAAATGATATATATATATATATATATATATATATATAATTTAATATCCGTTGAATTCAATAAATAATAAATTTTATTTCGCATTGTGAATATGAACCATTATAATCTTCTCAAGCGGCACAATAACCTGTTATGTTTTTAAATTAATTTGGAATTTTGCAAAACTAAATAAATTCTACAGCTGATTGTTCATGTTAAATCCATATTTTCTATTTATTTGTTTTTAAAATTGACCATAGTTACTAGCAGTTGGTATAAGTTTATATTTTGAACTGAGGTGCGATTTATTTACAAAGGCATTAATTATTATATCCATTGCTTCATATTAAAATCAATTATCGATTGAATTTTAGTCATATCTATTCAAAATTTTGTTTGATGTTGGAATATTAATCAACGCGTCAAATCAAATATACTATTTTTTACCCTTTACTTACTACATTATACTATCTATTTGAGTGCTCCGTGGTGTAACGGTTAAGAGCATTGCCTTGTGTGAACCTATATTTTTTCGTAACTATAACATTTTAAATCAGTAATATATGTTATATGTATATTTATTTATATGAATGTATATACATATATATTATATATATATATATATATATATATATATATATATATGTATGTATGGCCAGATACAAGAAAGTTTCAAAGTATGTGAAGTTTGAATTCTATCAATAGTCTGAACTTTGAAGTTTAGATTCAAACAAAAGGAACAGCTGATATGCAAATCATTCGATATCGATTTCATATTATCGTTCGCCTTTTAACCTTCACCGCACGATTTGCACGCGGTTAAATTCTTATATCTTGACTTTCAGGTGGCGGTTTTTGATAGTGAGATAGCTGGACATATATTTTTTTTCAATTGTTCAAATTTTTCAAATGATATATATATATATATATATATATATATATATATACATATAATTTAATATCCGTTGAATTCAATAAATAATAAATTTTATTTCGCCAAGTTCCATTAAATTTTGGCGAACAGCCATCGAAGATGATCGAATTCTAAATTCTGTGCGATTGCCAACAAATGTATGATTTAAAATAAATTATAGACAACATTGATCAAATGTATTACATTTTTGCGATGTAAATTCTTATAAATGATACTACTTTTAACTGACTTTTTCCGGCGGAATATTTGAACTGGAATGAATGACCAAGGAATACCGAGAAATTTTTCATTGTTGGTAATAAGTTGACTGATTTGCTTATGTATAAATTACAAGAAATTTTCGGTTTTAAATGTATAAACACATATATTTCTTTTTCATTGATCGTGATCAGAACTGCGTGTTTTATGTTTAATATTGATTCGTAATGATTAGATTGCATATTAGATTTGATATATAGTATAGTATTGATGTTGCAACAATACTCACAAAAGGGTATATTAATCTTTACACTTTACATTATATTTGAGATCTCAGCATAGTAGCGTTCGTCCTCAGAAATAATTGGTGCAAGTCGATTTTTTTCCCTCCCACCCACACCCCCTATAACGGTCGACTTTTTGTAGATTATCAGATTTTAATACATTTTTATAAACTTCTACAAAAGTTTATATTTATTTAATATATTTCCAAAATTTCCAAATAAGTGATCCCGACGTGATTAGATCAGACACTGAAAGGGAAGTAATGTGGCAATTCAAAAAAACTTTTATCATGAATAATATAAAAATATATATCGGTATGAGATGTCGACTTTTTATATATGATCAGATTATTAATACAGTTTTATACATTTCTACAAAAGTTTATTTTCAATTAATATATTTCCACATTGTTGACTCCGATGTGATTTGAACATGAGCTGAAAAGAGGATAATGTGGCAATTCGAGTCAAACCGTATCAGAAATAATATGAAATGTCAAGACATATCGAAGTTTATTTAATGATCAGATTTTTAATACAGTTTTAAACATTTCTACAAATGCTTCATATTAATTTTGATATTCCTACAACTCTTACACCACGATCGTTTATTTACGAATTTTTCCCACACTTTTCATTAATTTTGAAACAAATATTGTTCGGTCTATCTAAAAACGATCACCAGTCAATATGGTCTCAATATCGTTAATAAAGGGCCCAGATTTAAATATTGCGCCACGATTATCTAGACACAATTCATTTCTATTAGGGACTTTTGTTAAAGCATATAATGTATCTAATACTAATTTGTTGAATTATTAACTTCCCCTAGGGTAAGTTATTGTAATCGCAAAAAAATCTAAAATGAAAATTTTTATATTTTTTTACGTTTCAGGGGTTTCTAAATCTTTTGGCATACTTTAGAAAAAAATGGATGTATGTGTGTGTGTATCTGTGTATGTATGTGTGTATGTGTGTATGCGGATACAAATATTCGTCAACGATTTCGGAAACACGGTTCAACCGATTTGAATCATTCAAAAAACATTCGATTGCCGTTGATAAGGAGACGTGGTGATTAGTTTTTGGCATAGACAGGTCTAGCCGTTTTGAAGATGCCGGGCAAAAAGTGCCACAAACGGTAACTAAGTTTTTAAGAGAACGGAGTGTCCGATTTTAATCATTAAAGAACATTTTACTTGTATTGACAAGATGAACAATTGATTAAATTTTTGAGAGGCAGGTCCAGCGGTTTGGGACCCTCAATAAAAATAAGTTTAAAAGATGTCTCTTGGCGGTCAAAAATGATTATTAGACAAATACACATCTAATTATCAGATATTTTATAGAGAGTTTGATAATGTGTACACATTTTGTGTATTTTTTTTTGAGTTTCGTACCAAGATTTTTAGTTACGGTACGGGAAGTTCCCGCAATTTGCCTTAAGGCACGATGCCATGCGCCCCACTAGTTAAAACAAATATTGGCTGGTCTATCTAAAAACGAGCTTCAGTCCATATGAGCGCAATATTGGTAATATAGGCCCAAAATTCAAATATTGCGCCAAGATTAACCTTACATTTGGCTAAAATTCATTTCTACTGGGGGACTGGCTCGAAAATTTCAAATATGCTTTTGTTATTGCATACAATGTTTTGTTAAAGTATATATTTCTACATCAGCTACCTCACTAAGGTGTTCAGCATGCCCTGGC